CCATCCCACCATGTTTCTGTGATGCCTATAACATCATACCCCCGTAGACGTGCACACATCTCTAATTCCTCTTGTTTGTTACCCATGCTATGGGCATTTGTATAGAGGCATCTGAGCCGAGCTCCAAATGAAGCCGGCTCATTGGCTGGAGCGGCTGGAATATCTCTACATTGCTCTGAGCATTTATTATAGGTGCTGGCAACTGACTGGGAGTGTTGGGATGGAATGATGCCCCCACCCCCAACACATCTAGTTTAAAGCATCCTTGATCAGTCTGGCAAGCCTCCTACCAAAACTGCCCTTCTTTATAGGACCAGCTCCACCAGCCCCCGCTAGACCTGGCCTACAAACTTGGGTCCCATGTTCAAGACACCCAAACCCCTGACTGTGACACCACCCTTTTAACCATTTATTAACCTGGCTAATCCTCCTAGTTTTTTTTAATTCCTCCCCTGTATCCTGGAGAATAGATGAGAAGACAGTCTGAGCTCCAGAGCCCTTAACCACCTCTCCCAGGGCTCTACAGTCCTTTATGTTCCCCAGGCTACTACTATCTATATCCCTAGCACCCACATGTATCACCAGAAGTGGGTAATAGTCCGTGGGGCTTACCAGAGCAGGCAGCCTCTCTGCAACATCCCTGATCCGTGCCCCTGGTAGGCAACACACCTGCCTTGAGACCGGGTCAGGCTGACAGATGAGTGCTTCTGTCCCTTTCAAAGTAGAATCCCCCACCACTACGACCTGCTGCTTTTTCCTGGCAGCACCAGTTGAAATCTTCTTTACTAGTGCATCAACAGGCTGTTTCTGGCGCAACTGCGTTTCCTATTCAGTATTTACTCTTTGGTGCTGGGTGGTCAAAGCTAAAGTCAGAGGTTTCTTTTCAACTCTGCCTCTCTTAAAAGCTTTCCTAAGATACTGTACAGAGAAACATCTTAATGAAGGATTCATTTTATCCATAATAATGTTTCCATTGATATGTCTTTCAGTAAAATTGATATTTTTTGCTTTAGTGTCTGGACAAAATTGGCAATGTAAGAGTTAATTATCCTCTGTCCTTCTAAAATATGTGTGTATAAGTATCATACAGTGCTGGTATGTTTATAGGGTAAAACAACATTTAAAGTCTTAAGCTTTTGACATACAATAAGCTTTAAAAGTGCAACACAAAGTCATGCAACAGTTTATTTGCAGAAATATTGCTAATATTGACTCATTCTCTGGAATGATTTTTTTTTTTTTAATGTCAGAAATTGTAAGCAGGTTTTCTCCAAGCTTATATAGCTGGAGTTTTCCCATGAGAAGCTCAGAATCTTCATTCCATACTGTATTTTATGTTAGAAATCCACTACCTATATTTGTCTTAAATTGATCACAAGTGGATACAAGAACTCTGCAGAAAGAGGGGGGAAGGTGGTGAATTTGAGTGTTGGGTTTTTTTTTTTTTAGTTAGCATATTTTTTATTTATTTTGCTTATTAATGAGTTATCTGTGGTGTTTGGCAATATAAATAAGACATGTCAAGAAATTAATTTTTGAGTAATTAGAAAATACGTGTGTTACCAATTAGTATGTCTGCTTTTGATACAGACAGAACATGAAAGTCCTTTTATTTTAGAAGTGTAGAGCATTACATGTTAAATTTCCTGGATTGTATTGTAACATTGCAGGACCTGCCTATGCTCAGCCCTTGTCTGTGAGGGATGGAGCTTTTCTCTCATGCCACAAATTGCTGGCAGCCACCCTCTGGCTCCTTGGATGCAAGTCAACACAGTGTGCTGGAGAGAAGCATCCTCCGCGGCACCAGTTGAATCATATTAATACAGCAACCAGTATTCCAAAATTGTTGGCAAGTGTTCTCATTGCTTCTCTGTCATGTGTGCCAAGCCAGACACCCGAGTGTTGCAGACTCATTTTTAATTTAGCTCTTTGCCGTCTTCAGTCCTGTGGAACATATATAATTTTGAATACTACTTTGGTGGTGAAAAAGCAAAAATCAAACTAAACTGTCACCATCTCTGGAGGTTTCCCGTGGCCTCCAGCTTCGTTCTTATATTTCTTATTTAAAGGGAGCACCTTGGATAATGAGCTGGCTTCTGTGCAAAGTGATACAGGCTTCCAAAGCTAAACTATGGGCAGATGTGCATAGCCTGGCTTCTCTGGTCACACTGCCCCCCCTTTGAATACACTAGAATATCTCTTCAATGACACACACTTTTGTTTTAGGCTTTTCAAGGCAGCAAAAGATAGCAAAAGCCTAATTTGGATTAATTTTTCAAAGTGGTATTCTTACATAAAGCAGATTATTCTCAGTTCTACAACTTTTAGTCCATTCCAGGGTTGTGGGTTTTTTGTTTGTTTGGGTTTTTGTTGGTTTTTTGTTTGTTTGTTTGTTTGTTTGTTTGTTTGTTTGTTTTTTGTTTTTAATCTTTGTCACCATGAATTGTCATCTTGTTTTGCAGAAATGGTACATTTTGCCTGTTTTGAAGCTATGTCCTCGTATGTTTATTCGCAGGCCATGCACGTTAGAAAAAAGTGCAGGTGCAACGCAATGCTGCAACCATTTAATTTGTTCTACTTGGAGCACATCTACTGCTCTGCTAAAATAATCTGCTTCTCTCCTGAGATGTTTTTAATTCATTCTTTTGCACACTACACTTCCTGTAGCTTATGAGGTTTCTGTATTTTTTTTTCACCCAAGGACATTTTACTTATGTTTTCTTATTTAACTCTAAGCAGCCTTATTAGTCATCAATTATTTTTAGATTTCCTCTGAGTCCCATCGATTCCTTAGCAAGTAGTGACAATAAATAAGTATTGATTCATAATAGCTTGGGTTTAAGTTGAGCAAAAGGGAGTGTAAAGGTTTAATGGAGAACCTTGCAAATGAGGACCTTGCTTGAAGATGAAGCAGGAGGGTGCTGGCATTGCCACATGTAGCTTGAGCAACTGCCACAAAATGAGCCAGCCCAGTTTGTGCAAGATGAGAACTATGTATAATAGATCCTTGGGAAAGGAGAACCTGTCAGGGTTTTAGCAGGGAGTATTATCAATGTGTATTAGGAGCCTGTGGAGAGAAAAGGAAGGTACAGCTTGGATTAAAGGGGTTGTGTCAGTGCGTCGGTGACCTTGGGTACAATGACCATGGTTTCTGCATCTAATGTGTGGTTCCAGGACCTGAAAAGCCTCAAAATAAACCTGCCCCAGTGAGGTGCATGTGCCACACCCACCAAAGACTACCCGTATCTGCAGCTGTGTTTTACGAAAGCCGGAGTTTGTTTAATGACAGAAAACTCAAGATGAAGTTGAATCAGATTGAGTGGAAAAACATTTATTCCTTTTTCTAATCCAGCAATTTCAGGGCTGAACCAAGAGCAGGAATAAAAATCCTTGTGAGAATTGTAAAGCAAAATCAAAACAAGGTGTTTGGTTGATCCACAGGGTATTTTTATTGAGAGACAGTATTTTTGATTTGGTTCGTAACTCAAATATCAAAGTGTGTGCAGACGGTGGGGGTAGGCTGTGCTGTTTGCCATCTCAGAATATAACTGTGCTAATATCCTTTTTCCTCATGTTCAGCTTCATCAGATCCCCACAGTACAAAGCACTATGAAACAGATATTGCTTTTCTGCTAGCACTTCTAGTGCCTTCCCATGAGGAAGATTAGCTTAATTATAGATAAGGATTGAGTAGCACAAATAATAGCAGTAGTGCACGTCTTTTGTACCAGAAGAAGCAGTAATTGCAGACCCTTGCCTGTTAAAGCTTACCTGAAAAACATTTTTTATTTTTTATTTTTTTTAAGTAGTCTCTTTTCTGATAGCAGATATGTTTTCATACAGATTAAGCAGATAGTTTTGAAGTCAGGCGGGTGTTCATGGTCTTCTGCCGCTGCTACATAGAATCACAGAATCAACTAGGTTGGAAAAGACCTGTATAAGTCCAACCATTACTCCGGGACTGCTAAGACCACCATTAAACCATATCACTGAGAGCCTCATCTATAGAAGTGGGGGATTTCTAACTGATATTTGCTCTTATTGCTGATAATTCTGTTGGGTTTTTTCTCATCATGACCTGCATTTCTGATTTGTGGCCCATGCACCACTCCTGATGGCCAGTGGGATGCTACTGGCTCAGGTCTCTTATATATAGGCTTGCAGTAGGAATGGCCCCACCAGACAAGGCGACAATTTAACTGACTTGATGTGACATCTGTCTTGAGGAGAACCATGCCACCAGTTCCCTGCCTGTGATAGGGGCTCTGGGTCAGCATAGAGTTGGGTCCTGTCCACTGGCTGCTCTCTGCAGAAACCTGCCACTTTGTTCCCCCTTCCCTGCCTTATTACAGGTGACATTTAATTTTATAATAGTGTTGATGATAGCTATGCTGTGAGTTGTACTGTGGGCTGAGCCGAAGGTCTGTGGGACCTTGTGGGGCCCAGGAGGGAAGGAGCAACAGGGTTCCTCAGATAGAGATTGTATCCTTGCAGCTGAAATCACCCGAGGGCTGATCTAGATTACACAGTAAAATAGCCATGACTCACACAAGTTCTTTCTCTCAGCAGGGTGCTGGAAAACACCAGCAAGATGCTTTGGAAAAAATGGTTTGCAAAAATATAAATGGATTTCTTTATTTTAGAATATGAAGAAATCAAGGAGTTCAGTGGTCCTGCCTTTCCAGATTCATAAAATAATCTGAAAATAAAAAAAAATTAATATTCTGGGTTTGGAACTAGATGATCTTTGAGATCCCTTCCACCCCAAACCATTCTATGATTCAATTTGCAAAACTGAAGTTGCAAAAATTAATTATTTAATGCTTGTAAAGATCTATGGTGTGGCAGCTGCATATGCATTCACATACTGCTGCACAATAATTCCAGCAAGTGGGTATTGATAAAAAGGAAGTCATGACAATGGGAGAAGAATCTGTGATGCATGCTCTACAGCTTTACAAAACCTGTGCTTTGATCATCTATTTTCTTAACAATTCCAGGTGTTGTTAAGGTGGATTATGGTGATGTATCCATCAGGAAAGCACTGAGAGAAAATCTGAAGTGTAAACCTTTCTCATGGTACTTGGAAAACATCTATCCTGATTCCCAGATTCCACGGCGCTATTACTCGCTTGGTGAGGTATGAACCATTTCCTTTGGTTACACTAAAACAGTAAGTACACAGAACAAGGGGGGAACTGCTGAGACATGTGTTGGTTTTGGGGAAAGGAGTGAAGTGCTTGTGTGCAGTCCCTTCATCTATCTTATCTTTACTACTGAGCAGGTTGCATCTTCTCTAAATCTTTTGTAGGAGGGCATTGCTATTCTGAATGTATACATTCCCCATTAAAAATTTATCCTTTAAATTGAGTAGTGTATTGGAAAAGATAGGTTTGCGACTAATATTTTGAAATAAATAAGTAATATGCAGTAGTTGAAGGAAACTTTCCGTCATCACTGAAGAAAAAGCTTTGGGTTTTTTTGCTTATTTTTCTAAAAAAACCATGTTTGCTCATTGATGCTGTGTTTTCCAGCAGGGCTGCCTGGAGCTGGGTATCACAGACATTCCGAATAATCTGATAGTTCTAGTAGCACCCAAAGCTGGAATCTTTTTCAGATTCAGATATTTCACTGTTTAAAATATTCCATTGAGTTGTAACTATGCTGCCTTTTAAAAGCTCTTGAATGGCCTGATTTAAAGATCGCCACGGATAAAAAAGCAGTCAGATGATCAAATTTTACTTTTCTACATCCAGGAAAGTAGCTTACTGCTTAAACTTGCAGTTGTAGTGCTAAGTAAAAGCCACAGTAGGGTTTCCAGTTTAACTATGACAAGAAAAAGTGAAACATGGTGTTTACAGCAAGGAAGAAATTCATCTAACAAGTGTCAAATAATAAGGGTTTGTATGATATTGTCAGACTGCAAAATAAAAGTATGAGAAAGTAATAAAATAGTTATTAAAACACCTTATTTTTACCAACATGGCCTCAGTTTCTATGGAAACAGCAGTTCAGGTAGGATCTAAAAATTAAAACTCACACTTGACTATTGTAGCTGCTGACTGCCAGTTGAGCAGTAAAGTGGATTTTTAGACCTGAAGCTCAGGTATCATCAGCAGCAGTAACGGACAATTTCTAAAACATCAGGAGTGCGTTTCTCAGTCATTTTCCCCTCTTTCAGCAGAGATGTAATCTCAGGTGGGACAAACTGGCTTGCCTGTGCAGCTGGCATCATTAGTCCACAAATGATCCGTAATGTGCCCAGGGGCTATGTGAGATGCACCATGGGAGGCGGTGGCTAGTCAGGAGAGGAATATACTTCTCTTTGGCTCAAAAAATGATGAAAGAGAAAGAAAGGAGAATATGATGCTCAGCAGCCTGCAGGTGGGAGCGTGGGTTTGCTGGCTGCTAAGAATCAGGCTCAGTAATAAATCTGAGAAAATTATTCTTTAGTATAGTGCAATCTAAATGTAAGGAGCATTCAACACCGGGCCTCCAAATGTATTGTGCAAATGCATATTTTGTTCTTTTCTAATATAAACAGTGACAAGAAGTGTGAACCATTTCAACAGATTTGGGATAAACATCCTTGCTTATGACCTCCTGCAAGATAGTGCAGGTGTGACTTCGAATCTGAAAATGTTCACACATGGCTCAGTTGCATGGCCCAACCTGTTAGAAATAATAGTGTTGGTTTATGTTTTAATTTGGATTTTATTTGACTGTTGCGCAACTAATTGATATATGCCTGTTGCTTTTATAAATTAAATGCCCAATTTGTAAGTGAGATTTCTAAAGTGTGGTGTTACACAGAACTGAAATTCTTAAATAGTTTCTGAAGCACATTAATTGTACGCTTAACAGGTTGATCCTAAAGGTTGGCAAGCCCTTATTTGCAACTAAATTTTCTGTTCAGTTAGAATATAACTTATATACAGGATCTGTATTAGTTTTGAATTTCCTAGATGGATAATATACCTCAGAATGAGAATAAGATGTGCAAAATGGGGTGAATACTGAATGTTCTTTTTTACATTTCAGTTGTGTAGCACTGAATACAAAGTAAACATGAGACAAGAATTATTTTGTAAACCTGAGACATAATAATCATAGCTGAGTTTTCAAGGCAGTATTTATTTTATTCCCAGTTTTAATGAATCAAGGGTTCGCCAGAAAACTGCCGCTCTTGTGATATACTTGAAATTATTTCTACTAAAAAAAGTTATTTGAGAAAAAACCCTGGGATTATCATATGAGGTAATTGATAGGGTGTAGTTGGTGATCTGCAGTTTCTTTCGTAATCTGCAGAGTGGCATGTGCTGGAGGAGAAGAGAGGAGGAAGGTTTGCCTGTGAGCTGGCTTATCCCTTCTGCTGCTGGCAATGCTGCGGCTGATTCCTGGCATGTACATGCCAGAAAGACACACATACGTAGCCACGTGTAGGGCAAGGGTACACGTCTCTAAAGAGGGGCCATTTGTTTTAAAAGCAGTGGTGGAAACCAGCCGTGTGGTTATCAGCTGGTGCTTGAGATCTGAACCCCTGGGTGGGTGACCAGGCTGCACATGCCAACAACCCTTCTCCTAGTTTTGGCAGCTCTTGTAGGATTGAACAATTAAGATCACAAGCCTCCAAGAGGTTACACGCCAGCACAAGGTGGTGCCACTCCTTTCTGTGTTATTAACAGCCTTAGAGCAGATTAAGAAGCAACCAGGTGAGTTTTGCTGAGTTGCTCTGCCCCAGCATCATTAATCAGATTCCACTCTCATTTTCCTTGGCAAGCCCAGTCTGGTGGCATTAGTTTAGTGCCGACAGCCGGGCCTGCTGAGCCTCTGTCCTGGGTTCAGCTGTAGCATGGAGCATTGCAGATGACTGAGAGCTGTACTAAGTGCCACTGAGATCTGGCAAAATACAGGGCTTCCTGACAGTTTTACGGATGGAGTGAGGGACCCTGAGGTGTGTTTTTGCTTTGCACCCATTAGTAAGAAAATCAGCCTGTGCTGTTGAGTGAGAGTGAGGAGAAACCAGGGGAGCTGTGTTTGTATAGCTCTGCTGACAGGTGTATGAGAAGGGTTAAGAAAAATAATACTAAATGCACATGTGGTACAGACTGAAAGCACACACCATTATGAAGGCTGCAAGGTTGGAGAGCTTCAGGGAGACTGTGGTGTCTCCTGCTTCTCCTCTCCTACGAGGCTGGAATTGGTTGATTGCTTTTATACCCAGCCATTTTCCTGAATAAACGAGTATTCTAAAAATAACATTTAGAGCAGCGATGCTCTGGTATTTACCCTGCTGCTCCTCATTGCTTCTTGCTCTGATGGTCTTTTGTCGCAATTGCATGAGCTGAGCATCACTGGAAGGAACTCATTGTGCGCTGCATCACAGGCAACTTGCTTGTAATGCTGCCTTCCTCCCAGCTGCATCAGAACAACTGGTGTGGAAATGCCCTGTTTAACCAGAGATGTTCAATAGGTGTGTTTGTTCTTTCTGAGAATGGATAAATTCGTTTATTTAAAAACTTCTAAAAAGCATACAATTAGTCAAAAAGCTTTCCAATGGCCTCTGCTCTGAATGAGTCAGATGTCCGCTGCTGTTCATACTCAGTTTTTCTCTCTCACAATAGAGTTAGCACTGCTAGAAGGAAATAAAAGTGTGTATCATGGGCAAAGACATGATAGTTTTGCATTGTTTAGAAGTAAAAGCGTATTATATTTGTTAAAAAAACAATGCAAGGCATTGAATGAGATTTGCCTAGAATGCTGTTTATACTTACACTTAATACGTAATTTAAAATCTCATTGTATTCTTTGTAATTATTTTCTTTTTCTTTTGGGAGTGTGACATATTTACAGATTGCAAGTTAAAATGTATTTGTACAGTCAAGGGCATGGAGAATGGACTTCCTCATATAGCGCCGTGATCTTTTCTGCACAAATAATGACATTTACAGGCATTTTTTTTCAAGGAACACTTAATCTCTTTCTTTCTCCAGATCAGGAATGTTGAAACCAACCAGTGTTTAGACAACATGGGCCGCAAGGAAAATGAAAAAGTGGGCATTTTCAACTGCCACGGCATGGGAGGAAATCAGGTAAAATAAAAAAAAAAATAAAGAAAAAGCAGTGTTATTTGTGGCAGCATTTCCTCCTGGGGACCCTCCGGTTTTACCCCCTGATGAAATGGGAATCCCTCAGGAATCAACAGTTAATGCACCTCAAATGTGGGCATGGTGGGTCACTGTAAGAAAAACTAGCAGGAATTAGCAAACATATAAGGAAAGTTCCAGAATGTTTGAGATTTTGAAATTAAGAGTTTTAGGAGTACTTGGCCATTTTTTCAAGTAATAGCTGCATATTTTGTGAACATATCAACTGCATAACAGTAGCTCCAGTGGAGTATCCACATGAATATATTGAATATATTCCTGCTGTTTAGAGTGTGGAGAAATGCATTTGAAGTTCAGATACTAACATTAGCAGATTTGATCATGAATTTTAATCTGTTTTATGGCATTGTGGGGGAAAAACCTTTTTAAAGATGAAATGGGTGAGAATCTACGTGACTTATGGCTGAATTCATCTGTTTCTAAAATGTGTATGTGAAAAATAAGCATGCAGTGCATTCATGCAAGCTGAGGTTTTGTCATTAGTGGAAATTTGAATAGTGGGGGCGTGGAGTGTTTCACTTGTGTCTTGTGTATGTTTGAAAGGGAGTGAAGAGGTAAATGGCAGTCATGTAGCTCATTGTACTGCTGATGACTGTACCTGCTCTCCGTATAAATAACAGTAAACTTTGCATATTCTACGCCTTGGATTCAAATTAGCAGAGGTGATTCATTTGGGTTTAGTTGAGTTTTGCAGTGTAAACTTGTAGTTAGAGGACTTTTACCCAGGGAGGCTGTAGTATGCAGCAGCAGGGCAGGAAGGCTGCAGCACTGAGCAATGTGTGGCTGCTGACCACTCTGCTTTTTCCTTTTCCTTCAGAAAACCCTTCTCTTCTTCTTCCCCTTAGTCCTGACAGCTTTCTCAAATTAAAGACTTCAGCTCCTATCATTCAGCTTCTGACACATCCCAGAGCAGAGGGCTGTTCTTGCCTTCACACACTGCAATTTTAAAAACCTTAGAGATCCCTCATCAGGACCTTATATTTGTGCTGGCATCTCTTCCTGGAAGGTCTTTTGACCATGTACCCATTGGGTAATGCTTGATGAGTGTGGCATTTCCTAGTGCCACTTCTGCTAAAGAGATGAGAGGAGGCAGGACTTTACACTGAGCTCACATGCTTCTTCTAGAGTTAAGGTTGCCCATGATATTTATCCCAAACATTACTATCTTTCTAAATCTGACTTAGGAGACGGAAGTGTTAGCATTTTAATCAGACTGCATATGATCAAGGTTGAAGATTCTCTTTATGCCTTGGGTGTTTGGCAATTTTCCCTTTCTTTCTGCACATGGTAGGAAAACCCCTCTCTCTCTGTTGAAAGAGAAGGGAAATTCCTAGATGACCGTCAGGTCTCCAAACCTCAGTTCCTCCTAAGTATCAGGTTTGAAGTTAGGACTGTAAAGATAAAGATAGGTGGGTTGTGAGTGTGTATATGGGCTATTTATTCTATGGAAACCCTAATTACTGACAAATATAAACATTCTGAGCTTTCTAAAGCCAGTATATTTCATATCTAAAGAAATTTTGGCTCCAGTCTGCTTTATACATCTCACATCGCCAGAAACCACAGATGAATCTGTGGTGTGCACTCACAGGGTGAAGAGGCTCTTTTTCTCTGTATTTGCATGAGCAAAGACCAGTATCTGTCATCTGGTGGACATCTTGCTAGGAAAACCTGACCAACAGAATGTTATTCATCCTTCAGTGCTCATACACAACTCCCATTAAAAGTTATCTTTATTAAATTCTCTTCTAATGAGAAATTAGAACTGAGTTAAGGCATGTAAATGCTGGGGGAGGGGAAATGGGGAAGCTGCGTGGTTACAGAAATAGCTGAAGAGCAAAACTACTGTGGAATGAAAATGAAGCGAGAATAATACCTTGCTCATTGGAGTTCAGTGCGATGCATGAGTACGATCTGCCTTGAGGCAGGGCTAAATATCTCACAGCTAACAAAGTGTTTTAAAGTCCTAAGGATTGTTTTAAAGGACTTAAGGATAATGAGACTGTAAAAATATTAATTTCTTTTAAGAATTAAGAAAAATGAAATACTTTAACAGAGTCCCTTCATGTGAAAATTATTTTCAGAGTATAAGACTGTGGAGGATTTTCTGCTGTGTTGATACGAGCATTTCAGATTATCCTTACTTGGTTATTAATGATGTTTGAAATAAAAAGCAATCTTAGAACTGTTTTCTTCGCTTTATATAGAGGGGGAAAATGCAAAGCCTGTCCTTGGATCAGGTACAGTGGGGATATGGCTCTAGGGGCTAGAATACCACGTCTGTGCATCTCCTGAGGTGTGGGCAGCATGTGAATTTGCTTCAAGAATGATGTTTTTCAGGAGGAAGGTACCTGATTAAAGAGAGAAGTGACTACAGATCATGGGAAAACAGCTACTATCCAGCCTCAGAGAGAGGGGACTAACCCATCAATCTCACACTTTTTTCCCCCACAGCTGACTTGTGGTTTTGTAGTATTTTAGAGGAAATCTGTTCCTTTCGATGGCCTGGTAGAGGGTGACAGAGTCATCTGGTTTCCCTGCCTACAGTCATCCTGAGGGGTATACCTCAGGGGCTTTCATTGCGTTACCATAGGAATGTCATCTGTTACTGTGGTTATTGGGAGTGTCTTCACAGCAGTAATCAAATCATATGATCCCACACAGGCAAGAGAGGGATATTATTGAAAAGAACGGCTGGGGAATTGTACAGGTTCACAGTTGCACCGCAGGTCAGCAGCTGCTCTCCTCCTGGCTGCCCACACAACAGGTTGTTTAGCACCTTGTGCCTTTTCTCCTCTTGGGAGCTTCAGTTGTCCAAGTGATGAACCTGCTTTTTTGTCAGAAAAAATATCACCAGGAAAGTGACATGGACCCTTTCTTGTGCTGTGCAAAGCCCTGAAAAGGGTCCTGCAGTGCTCCCTGCTCAGCTGGTGTGTCCTGCAGTCCTGGTGTCTGTGCTGTCACATGCTACCACCTGCTTCTCCATTTCGTTGCATTGTGCTCAAGGGAGCAGCCATGGAAAGTCTGGAGGGGTAAAGCATTTTTTAATCAGTATGTGAGTCAGCTCCATTGTCAGAGCATGTGTCCTGTGTGTCCTCAGCAAAGCTAACTGCAAGCCTTAGAGTAACAAAATCAAGTGTTGAAAAGGGCTGCCTTGCTTTCTGAGATGCTTCACAGAATCACAGAATGTCTGGTTTGGAAAGGACCTTAAAGATCATCCAGTTCCAACCCCCCTGCCACAGGCAGGGACACCTTCCACTAGACCAGGTTGCTCAAAGCCCCATCCAACCTGGCATTGAACACTGCCAGGGATGGGGCAGCCACAGCTTCTCTGGGCAGCCTCTGCCAGGGCCTCACCACCCTCACAGGGAAGAGCTTCTTCCTGATATCTAAATCTAAATGCCCTCTTTGTCAATTTAAATCCATTCCCTCTTGTCCTGTCTCTACCTGCCCATGTAAAAAGTCCCTCTTCAGCTCTCTTGTTGGCCCCTTTAAGCACTGGAAGCTGCTCTAAGGTCTCCCCAGAGCAGCCGCCTTCTCCAAGCTGAACAAGCCCAGCTCTCAGCCTGTCTCAGAGGTGCTCCAGGCCTTGGGGCATCTATGTGGCTCTCCTCTGGACTTGTGCCAACAGCCCCATTTCCTTAATTTGGGGCCTCAGAGTGGGATGCTCTGCGGAATGCTCTGGATTTATCCTCTGGATAAATATTGTGGTGCCTTTTCCATACTGATAAGAATAGTGAGGTATAAGCACTAGTGTGGCTGTGACCATGTGACAATTTCTCAGCATCCTGCACGGCAACAGCAGCTCTGCAGCTCCTACTCAGTGTCCCAGTGGGCACTTGGAGTTCCAAGCAAAGGTGCTAATCTGGGGGATTTTTGTAGTTTTACAGCCTGTATTGGTTTGCCGAGCATAGAGGGCTGAGATGGCAAGTGGAAGAAACATGCTTCATGTAAAACCTTCCCCCAGGTGGCATGGAGCTCTGGTCCTCTATTACCAGGTGCCTAGGCTGTCGGCATCTTGTGCACATGGCAGCTCTGCATGGGAGAAGGATTTTTTGGAAGGAACATTTGTTTTTCCCACAGGATGAGGCGCGTTTTGTCGAGATTCATGTTAAATGAATGTGCAATTGCATCAGCTGGGATTTTGTTGGGTATGAACTTAGCTGGGGCAGGGGGATATCGGAACGAACGTGTTGTTCTATATGTTTAAGTAAATGTGCAAGGAGAGCATGACTTCCTTCTGGCAACGTTTTATACAGAAGGTTCAGACTCAGTACTCACTGGCAGCTCAAAAAGCCGTCACACACAATAAGGCTTGTTAGAGGGTTGCTATTTCCCCAGTTAGCTCCAAATAATGGGTCTTTCAGAAACTGTTCTATTTCATAGTTCCAATTTTTTCCTATTCACAGTAAATGCATATGTCTTCAAATGCCTTTTTGAATAGGAGCACTCTCTGTGTAGCAGTATATAGAAAAATAATTTATAAACTCTCAGTCTGTAAGGATTTATTGGTATGCTGTGATAATTTGCTTACTGCTGGAAATGGATGAGAATATGGGGTGTCTGACTCATGGGATGTTTCTGTAATGGAAGGCCACCACTAAGTCATCTAAAAGCATTTTATGTACAAAATTGAATAGAACAAAGCCTTTAGTTTAGTGACAATTAGACATTTGTCCATGCAAATGATGCAAGTTCCACACAGAAAGAGGAGTTGTACGGTACTTGTGTAGCTGATCCCAACCCAATAATCTCCTTGAAGAGCTCACTGGGTGAGGAAACACAGCACCCGTTACATACTGCATGAGTTTAGTACTGTGATTTTGTTAATTGTAGTACCTTAGGTTAATACTAGGTTTTGTAAGGGGTTATCCAAAAGTTAGCCCTTCTTTGCTCTTTCTGCCTGTTTCACATTTGCAGTCTCC